AAAAAAAAAAAAAAGATTTGTTTATGCAAACAGAACTGGGGTACAAGCCAGTTGCAGGGGTGAGTGGATTTACCAGGAACAGAACGGGAAAGGAAAGCAGACTGACAAAACACACTGCAGAGGTGAACAGCTGGGAGACAGGAGGGATCTGCCATGCCTGTGGGTCACCTCCCTGGCCAGGGATCCAACTCATACTGCAGTGGCTGCAGACAGCTTCATAGTGCTGAGCTTTAACCCCGTTGCACCACCAGGGAGGGCCCTATCTAAAAATTTATTAAAAACTTCTGTAAAACTGATACTAGTTCTTTATCTTGGAGCAAGGGGATGTTTTCGACATTAATTTCCTTTTTGCAAAATGATTTATCTTGGTTAAGTATTTATTAGTTCATCTATTTTTAACTTAGTGATTTCTAACTCTGTATTTATTGGTACCTTCTGAGTTTTCCTTTAATTTATCCTGCTGTTTCCCTAACTTTATCAAGGATTTAAATTACTTTCATATTTCTGTATCAATGTCCACATTTTCACAGGCATAAATTATTTTCTGAGTACAACTTCACAATGTGACCTAGAAAAACTATGCGATCTCTATTTCTCCTCTCGCCTTAGTTTAATAGCTTAAAACGTCCCAGATGGAAGTTTTATTTTATGGTATCATTAATTTACAGCCTTACTGCACTGTGACAGATCCTAGTGTATTATTTCTCCTTCTTTTAAAATCTACCGAATTTTTCTTGCATGGTGTGTAGTGAATTTGCATCAATCTTGAAAAGGTAGAGGGCAGATGTAACCAACCATTAGAAATCTCTCCTTTTTTATATTTAAAGAGGAAGTTTATTAGCGACGGGAGGCCCTCCCTGGTGGTGCAGCAGGTTAAAGCACAGCACTGAGAAGCTAAAGCCACTTCCACATGAGTTCGATCCCCGCCTGCCCCGGAGGTGACCACATGGCGCGGCAGACCTCTCCTGACAGCCCGCTGCTCCCTCAGCAGTGGACTTCACTGATGTGCCTGTTCTGCTCACACTGTCTGCACCTCTGGCTTATAGACAGTTCTGTATGCAGAAATAAATCTTAAAAAAAAAAAAAAATCTCAGTGAGAATTCAATGGTTAAATCATTTTCACATGGTTCAATTGAACGATTTTATCCCGGCCTCTTCTAGCTGTAAGAGCTTTCCTTTTATTCCCGTCCCAACAAGGTTCAAGCCTTTCTCTAGGCAAATCTACTAGATGTTACTATTTAAACTACCACCAACATAGTGATGACTCCCAGATTTGTATAGCCTTATGTTTGAACTCTAATCCCCAATTTCCAAAGATAAGCTCATTTTATTTCCTGCCACAGTTCATTCTCATCTTAAATCAAACCAATCCTTTCCTAACCTTTGCTTTGGGGCCAAATCCTGCCTTGACTTTGTGAAAGCTTTTTACAGTCAACACAAATTTCAAATTGCTTATCTTATAAGCCAAACTGGAAGCTCCTGGAGGCCAGTAATGGAGCATTATGGGCCTCTGTTTTGTAAGCAGCCACATCAACCACCTACCTATTAACTGTAGAACCCAATGCTACCTAATGGAAAAATCAGTACTATTTATAGTTCCCTTTAAAAGTTTCACTTTTTGTGGTTTCAGTTACCCAGGTCAACTGTGTATTAATGTATACTATATATAGAAGATGTTTTAAAAGAGAAACCCATGTTCACCTATTATTTTTGTATATTTTTACAATTATTCTTTTACTATCAATTATTGTTTCTCTCTTCTGGGCCTAATTTAGAAATTAGGCTTTCTTATAATCATATACGCACAGGAGAAAACCCAGTATATATAGCGTAGGGTACTATTTGAGGTTTTAGACATCCACTTGAAGTCCTGAAACATCTCCTTCCCACCCCTACTGCAAGTAAGCAGAGACTGCTGTACTAAATATGCTGAATGCCTCTAAGGTTAAAGAGATTAAGTCTCCGGGCCCTAAAGCATATAGCCAAACTATTCCTGGAACTAGCAAGCAATCACCCAAAATAAAGGCTCAGGAAACACCTAGTACAGCACATGCAATCTTCCTATGCTTTCTCCTGAAATAGATATATACTTTTCTCTAAACTATTATATAAAAAAAGTTATCCAGGTCAACGAGGTACCACTACCCTGAGCAGTACTGACATGACAACAGAATAGTCATTTTGGATTTCCGCCACCCCAAAGAACTCACAAAACACATTCTCTGCTCTACTTCAGAAGGAAAGACCTCTGACGTCAAGACAGAGTATCAGGCACTCAGTGAAATGATTCTTGAGAGCTCGTGCCCCTAAGGTAGCAGTTTACTTTCTAAAGTTAAAGGATCTCTAAGCAACTTACAGAAAAAACTGCCAGATGAGTTCACAGGCAGCAATGAGGACATTTCAGAGCACAGATAAGAAAGGGGCCTTTTACCCATGGCACAAGAAATTCACAGACGATACAAGAGATGCATCGAGGATGCGGGACACCTCTAGGCGGAGACTGCAAGCTCTGACAGTCCTGGGGTCCAGACTCCTGCTCCACTACCCACTGTTGTAACGGTCCAGCTAACTTCTTAGCTTTTCTCAGCTTTAGTCCTATCGTTTGCCAGAACAGTACCAATCCCCACACCTCCACAGCAACACGCTGAGAATCACATAATGTGAGCATGCAGGTGTTCAGCTAATGCCTCACACATAAAAGCATTCGCGTGCTTACTAATTGCTAGCTATTATCTCCACCAACAGTGGGACAAATTTTCACTGGTAGGCATCAGTTACTGAAGGCAGGTAAAAAAGCCAAGTCATGTGTTCACTGCAATTTAAAATATACCTGTTGGGAGATGAGCACTGGAGCCAGAACGACTCGCAACTGGCCTGCCTGCGCTGTCTGAACGTGCTGTTGACGCGTCAGCCAGGTCTCGCTTACCCAGTCAGTTAACTCCGCCTCCACTGCCCCCAAATACAGGGAAAATGGGAGCTCACGGCTGAGCAGGTTCCGCCACAGGAATAAAACAAAAATTCCAACGTGTGGGCATGTGCTTGGCTGGCATGCGCGTTTCCAAAGCCTGTGATGACTAGAGGACGCGCCCTTCTCAGGGCGGCCCACCTGAGCACACTGCGCTCGTTCCTTACCCAGTGACGGCATCTCACCCACTCTGTGTTCTTCTTTGTCTGATGCGGGCTGTGGAGCAGCATCCAGGCTGACGTGCTCTTCTTGGGAGTGAAATACGTGCAGATCCTCAAAGACTTCCAGCTTCTGAAAGTACAGGCCCCACTCCTCAGTAACACTCCTGCGGGCAAGGAAGACTAAAACCCAAGGCGCGAGGAAGGGATGGTGACGTCTCAGTTCCACAGACGCAGCAGACAACGCCGCGCTCAGAAAGGAGGCAGTGGACAGGAAGCAAACGGACAGCAAGGAGGCGCGGAGAACTAGACCCCCAGGACACCCGAGTGCACGCCTGCAGTATATTGTGGCTGGCTGAGCAGTGAGGGCTGCACAGGCAGAGGAGACGCTCTCAGATGGTGCCCAGGGCAGCAAACCCACCTGAGGCCCATCTTTTGGAGACTGAGCCACCATCTCCCTCTTCTGCTGGGCTCCTCCTCGGGGCAGGAACTTCATGAAGGGCAGTTGCACTGGGAAAACAGGAGCCTGTCAGGGGAAACCTCAACGCCAGTGTGGGGACCGCGGCACTCAGGCCACTCCTGTGAGCCAGGCCGGGCTGTGTCGCTCCCACGGCACACAACTCGGGAGTCCACTCCTGTGAGCTGGGCCAGTGGGCCAGGGTGCGGCCCAGGGTCTTCCTCATTACCCAAGCAAGTTCCCTGAGCACCTGGGGGCAGAGGCGCTGCGGGGGAGTCCGGGAGAAGGTCCAGGATGCGCCCAGGAAGCAGTCTCAGTCCCGCTTAAAGGGAAGACTACACGATCACTCACCTACATTTATCTTTGAAAAGGGTTTTTTTTCCCCCAGTGTCTGGGCAAAGTCGACATTCCGGGGAGACACGCCATTAACCCCATGTTCTTACCACATGCCACATGCCGCACCCTGGAGAAACGCTGGCTGCTGGCTGGCGGCTTACAGTCAGCCCCTTGTTAATGTCACCTCCCTCGGGACTGACACACCTCCGCCCACTCCTCCCCCCTGGGGGGCAGCGTGCAGCTCACCCCTGTTCTGATGGTTTGCGCTCACGATGACCAAGGTCTCCCTGACTTTCTGGTGGGGCGCGCCCAGGCCTGGTTTGGGCAGGAAGGCGAGTAAGTGCTCCAGAACCAGCTGGTGGACCGTCTTGGGCCCGCCGGGGGCGTCCCGAGGGTCCTGGCTCGGCCTGGAGCTCGGAGGGACTCGCAGAACAAAGGCCTGCTTGGGCTTCGGGGGCGGCGGGCCCACTTTGGCAGCCATGTCTAAGCCACGCGCCTCCTCCTATCCGCGAGGTCCGTCCGGTGGCGCGCTGTGGGCGAGAGACGCGGGTGTCACGGCAAGGCCGGGCGGGGCCCGCTCCCGGCGCC